ATGTGTAACAAAATGAGTGTGAAGATACCAATTCCTGCAGTGAAAATGGGGAGAAATTGGGAAAGCTGCAGGTATTCTTAAATATTACCTGCTGTTAATCTCAGTAGGCCATCAGGGTGTTGACGATTGTGTCATTAAGTATTTTGTGGTTGGAGAGTGATTCCATTTGGAGTGTTTGGGGACATGTTTTGGAGGAAAAAAACCAAACTTGTTTGAAGGGAAACTAGGCAGGTATTATTTTTTAGAATGGGCATGCTGGAGACTTTGGGTGTGAGGAGGAACATTCAGAGCTGGGGAGAGAAGCAAGTGTGTGTTTGAACTGAGTAGGTGAGAAACTTGACCACTTGAGAAAGTGGTCAGTAAAATGTTTGAGGGGATGAATTCAGTCTTGCTGACCAAGTGATTCCTTAAGGAGGGAGAGGGGCATTCTCAGTGTTGTAAATTGACACAGTCTCCACCTGAAGCTATCAGTAAAAGAGGGGAAGATGCTTTAGAATTCCTTGTGTGTACTGATTGCTGAAGCCATGATGAAATCTGATGGCAAACTTGTTTGCTGCTGAGGGTGTTTTTGTCTCCTTGGTCCAGCCATTTCAGGAATCTGATGGCACTTTCTTTTCAGCCCACATAGTCATTCAGGCTTCATTTTTGTGAGAATTTGTCTGGATCTTGCATGAAAAAGCACATCTGGGTCTTGCAGTATCAATGCAGCTGGGGACATTGCTAGCTGTCAGGTCTTTCAACTAGGGAAAATTCACTGGCATGCCTCATGCTGCTTGTATCCAACTTTATTTCCATTGTAACTATGGCAATAGGAGTAGACTGGTAAGAAAGTGTCAGAGTATGGGTGCTCATGCCTGTCTTGCAGAGGGGTTGCTTGGTGGATCCATAGAACTACCTCACCTCATCTTGTAAACCTGTTTTGGTGATAAACACCCGTGCATGTGTGTGTATAAATATATATATGTACACACATGTCTGCAGTAAAAAACAGAACACTTTCCTAGATGGTTTGAAGTAGTGAGGAGCCTACAGCCAGGAGAACAGCCAGATAAAGTCTTGGAGATTGCTCCTTGTGTAGACTGAGAAGAGAGGATCTTTTTCTCCCTGGGTCTTCAAGATGTTAAATCCAGTCCAGTAAACTTAACTCAGACAGTTCTGAAGGTAAGTTAGGGGAGAATATTTTTAAGACCTTGTTCTAGTTTCTTAGGAACATCCAGGGGTCTGCAAAACTTCATTCAGTCTTGTGAGGAGAAATGAATAGTGATACTTAGTGTCTGAGAGAATAAAATATATACATTAAAGAGGGAAAGATTTTTAACTTGTATGTAAAACTTGAGATCTTAGATAAAGGACTTCAGGTCAAAATTAAGGCTATGCTGAAGCTTTTCCCCCTTCCCTCTTTCACAATAGTTCAGCTACAGAAAGCAGAACATTATAGAAGAAAAATGATGAAATACTTAAAAGGTTATAACATTCAACAAATTTGTTAAGTTACCTTTTATAACAGAGCATAAATCCAGTTTTCAAGAGCTCTGGAGCTTGTCTTGCAACTCTGCCAGGTTAAAATCCTTTTCTTTTTTTTTTCCTCCTCCTGTTCCTAACTAATCTGCAAGCAATTGCGTTTTAAAAATTATTTTTCTCTTGAATTTAAAGACTTTGACAGATGGCACATGTAGAACCTGGAAAACTTCCTGAATTGGCAGAGTGACCATACCCCTGCCATTTTCCTACCACAGTATCCGTAGGTGCGTAGGCTGTGTCTGCTTCCAGAGTGCTGGGCGAGATACCGTTTCCTCTGCTGGGAATGTGCAGATAACAAGTGATAAATCAGAAAAACATACCTGGTGATGGGCTTAATTTGCAGTTAATAGACAACTTAATCTGCTGGTTAGCTGAGTAATTTGATTGTGACTTAACCCATTCAGAGCAGTGACAGTCTCCAGGGTGCATACCTGCAGTGTTTTCCATGCAAGATTAATATCAATCTTTTAAATTGTGTGAGTTTGTTTTGCACTTTTGGGCGGCTGAGACATCCAAGCTGTGCCTCACAATAGTCCATTCTTTATTCTGGAGAATGTTATACCAAAAATTAGTCTCTTGACCTTTGAAACATGGTTTATCATGACTCTCCTTCTTTCAGGGCCTCTGTCCAAGGCAGAGGTCTGAAGCCAATAAAAGCACATGAAATCTCCTGGTTCTGAATGTGCACAGGCTGTCTCGCTTGATGCTGCATGACACTTCTTTTCACCACTGAATGTCCTGACTTTTGTAGCAAGTGATCGACTGCATAGCTTGTTTCCTATTTACAATCCTTTGGAATTTCCCTCCCTCATCTAAGGCATTTTAGGAAGGGCAGTAGCTTGGCACTTGAATACGTCTTTGTGATTTGTGCTGTGTATATTGTGTGGAAAGAACATGTATGTCTGTGTGCAGCTACATCTGACGAGAAGTGACATGTTAAATACCATGTTCAAAGACAACAGCACTGGAAAAATTGATCTATTTTTCTTTTTAAGGTCATGAGCACATGAATTGGTGTAGAGTTATGTCCCTATGAAATTTATTACTTGTTGATGTGGTACAAAGGACCTTAGGTCTTAAAGGTGAGCAAAGGCTTTTTGTATTCCTGGGGTAGGACTAGGTTGATAAACTGTTTTTAGACAGATCAAAAGAGATGAGATCTTAAATCAGTGTTAATATGTGACTGACCAGGAATGATACCATCTAGAGATTATTGCTTTCCTCTGTTTCTGCAGTGTTAACAAATGAATACTCAAGAATGTATCAGCGAAGCAAATGGTTCTTGATAAATTATGCAGTCTTGACTCCAACTATTGTTTGAGGTAATTTATGATCTTCCACTGGTGTAATGGTGGCATAAACTGCAGCACGCCCTAGAGTAGACAAATTGGTCTGGTATTGTTTCGGAACATATTTACTCTATCTTGCTGTAAGTGAATTGGAGCCTTTTGCTGAAATGTCAGAGGACCAGTATTTGGATGTTCGGTCCTAAATAACCTACCATTAAATTTGCAGCAGTTGTGCCTTTTCCTGATGTCTAAATACTGAAGTGATAATAAACATAAAACTGTTGCAGTGTAGAGCTCAATTCTTTTCCCTTACCCCTTTATGTTAACTTTCTTTAGTCTTGTTGGGTTTAGAGGCTAATAATGCAGATCTCTTTATTGATGCATTTTACTAACTTCATAACAGCTATTACAGTGGCTTGCTTAATTTCTTTGTAGATGTATTTATGAGAAAGAAAAAAAATTGTACTCACCCAAGTGAAAAGACTTTTAAGAGCTTCTGTTAAATCCGTGCTTAATTCTCCCGGAACAAACTGAATGATTAAAGTGAAATCTACAGATCAATCTTTAAAAGTGACTGCAGACTTTTAGGTGTGGAGAAGTAGTTAGAAGGCTGTAGATCACTCTTTATATGTTTAAAGACTAGCAATAGTACAAGTTGAGTAATGTGCCTACAGAGTTAGATGCTTTATGTGGCCTCCCCCCACTTTGAATCCTGTAAGATTTTGAGTTTATTTTTTTTCCATAGTATTTGCTTACCTAGAATAAATAACCAGATTTGTGCATATTTGGTTAAATGGATTTTCAGACTTGCTATTGCCAAAACCAGTTTCCTCCCAGGGTACTTGGCTGTATGAATTGAACACTGCAGAAGCCCAGTAACTACTTCCTGGAAAGAAGTTCCCAGCAGTTTGCCTGCCTTACTGATAAAGGAGGAGGCTACCATACCTCCGCCAAACTCATCCTGGACCTAGATAAAATAAAGCTTCCTTGATGAGTGCATGGTTTGTGGACCAGAGGCAGGAAGTTGTTCAGGAGCAGTTTGTCCAAGATGTTTCTTTACCCTTGTCCCTCACTTAACTGTCCCATAAATTTTGCTGACAGCTTTGGTTTGCTGACAGGTCGTGCTTACCAGAGAGCAGTGGGTAGCCTGTTTAAAACTTGGGCTTTTGTTTTGAACACATAATTGATAATTAAGAGCAAGCCAGACAGGAGCTTGCTTGTGGTAGAAGTAAAAGTTCTGACTGTGCTTTGCAGCCTGCTTTCTCTTCCCCAGTCATACCTTTTTCATCTACTTGGAGGTGGCATCGCTTGTCTTACACTGCAGGGGTGTGTCCACCCCTGCAGGTAGGAAGAAATGCTGGAGCAGCAAACTGTGGTTTATTTATGTAATTTATTTTTGTTTCCTTTTTATGAGGCAGTTATAATAACTTTCTTGACGTTGTCTTGAGGCAGTTATAATAACTTCCTTGACATTGTCTTACCTTCTTATTTTTAGCTATTTAGCCATATGTAGCTCAAAATGTTTGCAGATTTCTTTTCAAGCTCTATTTGATCACAAAGTCGTGCTTTAAAGGATACACAACTCACCTTGCCAAGTTGCTGCTAATAATCACTCAGAAGAACAAGTGCAAGACCTGAATGAATTTGTATGTGACAGTCTGTTTGATATATTGTGCGAGAATAAAACCACGGGGGAAAAGGCAGGCAGGAAAGGGTAAAGGTTAGAAGTTCTGTAGACAGGCTTTGGAGGCTGATGCTGCATAATGGTCTTGGTGATCTTATGGGTTTTTTTCGACTTAAATGATTCTGTGATAAGTGACTGTCATCTTAATTAACTCAGATTTCAGTGTTTTCTTTCCACAATTGAAAACATAGCCTCAGGTGGTGAGAGCCAGTTTTCAAATGGCTAGGGTTTTGCTGTGAAGGGAGGCCTTCATTTTTGCCTAAACAGTGGAAATAAAGCAGGAGCCACACAGCCTGAGAAGTTATGTTGGGTTTTTAAATGAAATATCAAATTGAATGTGTTTGCTGGGCTGCAGGCAGCAAATGTGCACATTTTCTACTTCAAGTTGATGCAAATCCTCATCACCTCATCTTGATCTTCTCGGTCTCCCTCCTCCAACTGTTTTCAATAATAAGTTGATGAAATGTCTTCAGTATGGTTTCTGACAGTTTGTTTGTACTCTGCAGGTCCTGGGAAGCAGTAGATGTAATTTGAAGAAAATTTGAAGGAACAAATGGCTTTAGCTGGCTGCCCAGACTCCTTTTTACATCTTCCTTATCGGATAGTAAGTTGTGAAATTGCATGTTTGTGTCAGCTTGTAGCATCATATTGCTGTGTGCTGGTGATTGATTGTGCATTCAAACTTTTCATCAAACTGCTAATAGCTGTCTGGCAATTCTCTGGGTTTTGCTAACATTTTGGAAACAGAGCCTCTGTTACCATCCTGTATTCAAGTTCTGCTGCTGAAAAGACGGGGTCGTTAATATATGCGGATTTGATATTTGTCTTTAAAATAGCCGTTTCCTAACTGGGAGAAGGTACTTGTTTCCAAAGAAAAGGTGGCAAGCTACAGTCCCAGTGAAATGCCTTGCATCAAAATGTATCAGTTTGCAGAATGCTATATTTGTAGGAACAAAGGCAGAGATTTTTACACTTGGTTAGATCCTATGTTTTTGAGTCATTGTGCTGTATCTAAGCAGCCAATATGGCATATTACAAAGAGTATATTTTAAAAACCCTCAGCTAAATTCAAAGGTACTTGACAAAAATGCATGTAGAAGTTCTCTTTTTTCCCCTGGGCAGTTTTAGTTGGCATAATGCTTGCTTTGTATTTTTTATGAAACTATAAATTGCTGGTTTGGATATGATCTTTTCTTTTCACTTTTTATCTTCTGTTTTCATAATATGATTACCGCCCTGAGGATTCAGTTATGATTTTGGACCCTGCAGATACACAAATAATTAAACAGTGTCATGTGACATTAAAACCTTTTGCTTTTGTCCCAAGAGAAACATTGCTAGTAGTGATTACTACAGTCATGCTACTCATTTGGAAGAAAAGCAAAAAACTAGATAAAAACAACAACATTTCCAAAAAGTCTCTTTAAGATTAGGATTCATACATGTTGTGTAACATGTCAGCTTACAATTTTTTTCCCCCAACAGGAAACCTCTAATTAGTTAAAAGTCTAATGTTAGTATGTGCTGAGTTGTCAGCTGAATGTACCTGAATGCTTTTCCCGATAGCAGGAAAAACATAACAGTTCTTTTATAGCTTCTTTTGCAGCTATAAAAATAGACTGGACTTTGAGAAATTGGATGTCCTGAAAATCTGTTACTATACTTGGATCTATGAGTTTAAAAGAATATGTGAATAGATGTGCCTGGACTTCACAATTTTGATGCACTGTGAAATTATGCTTCCAATTCATTTAGAGCATCATCTGAGTCATGATGTGAAGCTGAGGGAAAGGAGAGCTATGGAAGAGAAACTTGACATTCTAGGCAGTCATTTTTGAGCTGCAAATTCTTTAACTGAGTGTCAATCTCTACAGTGAAAACAGTGTCTTTAGTGGTTCATAGGAAGTAAAAATGTGAATTTTCATTGGTATTCTCCTTTCTCTGACAAGCCTTGCAGATAATCTGCTTTAGTCTGGGGCAGGCAGCAGACTGGAAGTGTCAGAGCAACATGGGGTGACTTAAGATGGTGGGAAAGTGACTCAGTTATTTTTGGCCAAAGCTTACTGTGTATTAACTACCCTAAGTGCTTCTAACCAGTATGAAGACTAGCTCTGGAAGCCCATTCACAACTACTGTGCCTTCTGTCAGAACTGAAGTTTGCATTAAAAAAATCCTGAACATCTGTTTTTCCACCCCTACTAAATCTGACTTAGGAGCTTTCATCAACTTGTCTTTCAAATTTGGCTGCAGTGAAAGCATTTTGTTGGTAAAGGGCTGAAAGAAGGTTATACTAAATATGCTCTAGATTAGAGTGTAAAGAAATATTCTATTTTTTCAGCACATTTTCTTACTTAATGTGAATGAGAAGCTATGAAGGACAGCTCCAGAGATCCCGAGGTTGGGACCTTAATGCTGTAAATTCAGTATTAGAATAAATTGACACATTGGAGGTTGGGATTATATTCAAGGCAAGAAAAATGAGAACCTGGGTAAGTGAGTATGCCCTACAGAATATCCTTTAGAATGTCTTGCTGCCAATCCACCTTTTCTTATTTTTTTAATATTTTTAGAGAGATGGACAAAGTATAGATCTCTGACTTTCTTTCTGGGCTCTTTGTTTGCAAGGTTTGCTGCTTTCAGAACCTTTCAGGTCTTGTTTAAGAGCTTTTTTTTCTTCTTTTTCTTTTAACTTTCTCAGGAGTTAGCACATAAACCAGTCACACTGAGTGTGTTCTCCTAGAAACAATCTCTAGCTCTGTAAACAAAAAACAAAAAAACCCCACAAAAAACAAACAAACAAAAATCCTAAAAAAACCCAAACCAAAACAAAAAAAACCAAATCAATACTATCTTTCAGTGGCTTTCAGGAGTCCTTTCCAAATTCTTGAACTCTTCAATAAAAATCCAGCAGTGAGAATTGGCAGTATTTGTCTTCTGTTCCTGGAAATTCAGAACATAGTCCCAGAATTTCTCAGAAAAAATGGGATGATTTACTGTGTTTCCGTTCTTTTGCAATCTGTAGTCACAACAGTATTTATGTGCAGTGACTTGAACTCTTGGGGAATATTTAGTTCTTTAACCCTTTGCTTTAATTGTACAAGTCTCAGTGACATAAATAACAAAAAAAACCAAAACAAAACAACAAAAAAAACCCAAAAAAAAACCCACCAGGGTTTTTTTCCCAGTTTATGAAGATAAAATTTTGGGCATACAGGAATGTTCTGTTCATCTTCCACCTTCTGCCTTCTGTTTGTTTTCTCACGACCAAGATGCAGGTATGACTTCAGTAATAATTAATGTAGTTTGGTTTTAGTGAGTTGAATTCTTATTTGAGAAAGAACTTCTAACTTGGTATAAAATTGGACTACAAGCACTTGGCCACAAAGTAGGGAGAAAATGGAAATTGCTTTCTCTTATGTGTACAGAGCTGTGGATTTCAGGATTGCTAATAATCCTTTTGATCAGATAAGAGTGCAAAATAGTGCACATCATACTTGAGAAGCTTTGAGAATTCTTACTTCAAGAGTAAGAATTAAATACATAAGAGAATTAATCAGAGGCTAGCTACTGTAATGAAAGCCTCTTTCAGTGATGTCAGGTTTGTAGATGGGGAGGTGATTTGCTGCCAATTCTGGAACTATAATAACAGCATTGCACTGCCTTTGTCTGGAGGGGCAGTTAGGCAGAGGTTCTCCAGGTTTTAGTATGGCAGCTTTGATCCTTGTTTTCAGTAAAATGATACAGTAACTTAGACACCTTTGGAGGTCATCTGATCAAAGTCCATGGCATATTGTTTTTCTGGAGTGCTTCATCTTAGTGAGCATGGTTTTTTTTTGAAAAAAAACTTGCTTATTTTATTCTCAGGGGTGGCTTGCTTAGATTAGGCAGCTAGAGAAGAGAGGGTTTCTCTTTTAGTGAAAGGGGAGGAAAAAAACCCTTTTGATTTGAAAAAAATTTCTAATTTAATTAGATAATTACCTTGATGGATGCAATCATCCTTACCCTTGTGACATCCAGATGCCTTCTATATGACTCAGTCATCTCTGCCGCTTTGGTATTGAACAGTCTGTTATTTGGTGTTAATATAGGTAAACATGCTGCAGTCCATGTTTGTGTGCATAAAATGTCTTTTATCATAAAAACCTGCATGGGAAACATTTGTTTGCAGAATTTGTCTCCAAGTGATCTTGGAGGGGGCTGTTGAAACCTATGTTTCATTGTCTGCCTGACACTGTTTGAATATCTTCATTAGCTTGGTTGTTGACAATTGTTTAGCGATTCTTTGGCAATGTCACTTGCCAGTTGTGGTAAGAAAGGTGCCAGGCCAAAATGGTTCTGGTCATTCCTCTCCTCAGCTGGGCAGGGAGAAGAAAACATAGTAAAAGGCTTGTGGGATGAGGTAAAGGCAGGAGGAAATCACTTACTGGGTACCATCACAGGCAAAACAGACTTGACTGGGGAAGTTAGTTTAATTTATTACCAGTCAAATAAGAGTAAAGTAATGAGAAATAGAGCTGAATTTTAAAAGCACATTCCCCCCACCCTGTCCTTATTCCCAGATTCTACTTCGCTTCCAAGTTGCTTTCTCTTCTCCTCTCCAGTGATGCAGCGGGATGGGGAATGGGATTTCCAGTCAGTTCATTACACATTGTCTCTGACAATCCTTCTTCCCCAGGGGGAGAACTGCTCACACTCTTCCCTTGCTCCAGTTTGGGGCCCTTCCCAGGGAGACATCTCCATGAAGTTCTCCAGTATGGGTCCTTCCCACATGAACATAAGTCCCTTCCATGGGATGCAGTCCTTCTGGAACAGGCTGCTGTGCCATGTGGGGTTCACAGGGCATAACCTGCTCCAGTGTGAGCTCTTCTCTCCATGGTTGCACAGGTCCTGCCAGCAGCCTGCTCCAGTGTGGGCTTCCCACAGTGTCACAGCCTCATTTGTGCATCTGCATGCTCTGGCACAGAGGCCTGGGTGGGCTGTAAGTGGGTCTCTGGCTCCCCTGTGGGACTCTGCAGGCTGCAGGGACACAGCTGCTTCACCATGCTCTGCACCATGGGCTGCAGGGAAACCTCAGCTCCAGTTCCTGGAGCACCTCCTCCTCCTTCTTCACTGACCCCAGTTTCTGCAGAGTTGTTTCTCTTACGTATTCCCACTCCGCTCTTCATCTGCAATTTGTTGTGGTTTAGGAATGGTACTCCTTGCTTTAGTTCTCCCACTGAGACTCTCCAAATCACACTGTTGCTGGGTCACCCCCCAGCCCTTCCACTGGGGGTGGCCAGAGAGGAGAATTGGAGGCACAAAAGGCAAAGATAACAGGTTAAGATGAGAACAATTTACTGGAAACAGCCATGAGATAAGAAAAGGAACAGCGACAGCAACAATATTGACAACAAAAGTGTTCTTAGAGAGTGATTTCACATGCAGGATGCTCAAGGAACCTGACCAGTGTCAGGCTTGCTCGTCAGGAAGGAACCCCGTTCTCAGAATCAGATGAGGTGGTGTAGAATCACCTCCCTGTCCTAGTAATGCCCCTCCCAGCTGCTGTAAGCATTAACCCAGTCTTGGTCAGAACCAGGACACAGTTTAGCAGATGTGTTTGTTTTT